CAAGAAAAATTTGAAATAATTACACATACAAACCAAGAATGTTTATTAAACAAAAAATCGGAATTGATTTCTAAATGCAGGCACGAAAATAAGTTTCTCCTAAAAAACTACAAAAATAAGTGAGCTCAAATAATAGGTACATTAACTCCCCTTTGAAAAAAATATATTATTTTTTAAAAAAGCTTAAGTAATCATTTCTAAAGAATTCTTTTTACAATAGTGTCAGCAAATTACACAAATGTGTGAAAAATTGCAGTAGTTAAGACATGTGACTTCCTGTAATTTAATTTTTGGTATAAATTGAAGTTTTATTAATTTGATCATTCATTTATGATGAGTCTTTATTGATGAAACAAAGTGTTAAATAAGAAAAAATTTTGCTAAGTGATTTTCTACTAATTTATATATATATATATATATATATATATATATATATATATATATATATATATATATATATATATATATATATATATATATATATATATATATATATATATATATATATATATATATATATATTTATATATTTATATATATATATATATATATATATATATTTATATATATATATATATATATTTATATATATATATATATATATATATATACGTATTAGTGCTTGCATTTTATGTTTTAAATTTTGCTAAGTGATTTTCTACTAATTTATATATATATATATATATATATATATATATATATATATATATATATATATATATATATATATATATATATATATATATATATATATATATACGTATTAGTGCTTGCATAAATCTTCACGAGAGTGCTCGATCAATTAAAGTATATAAATTGATTTAAATTATATATAATATATATATAAATATATATATAAATAATATATAAATATATATATATATATATATATATATATATATATATATATATATATATATATATATATATATATATATTCGCATAAAAAATATCATGGTTTAATAAATGTAATTTTAATTTTTATTTAAATATTAGCAATTCTTTTTATTTGACTTTTACTAAAAATTAATAAGTTTCACAGTGCTTTAAGGCACTTTTTAAATTAAAAAAGACAATTGAATTGGTGAGAGGAAGAACAGTACTAGTCCATTTTTTGTTATTTGTATTTTTTTTCATAATTTCAAATAACTTATGTCAATCTCTATATATACTACAAAAATAATATCTTTCTTTCATTATTTTTTGCCATAAAGTAGATTTAAACTAGTCAAAGAACAATACTTATCCAGGACTAGTACTGATTTTCTACTCAATTCTTATAACGCACCAAATCAAGTTTAATAAATTCAATCACCAGAATGCGTCCAAGTCTATAAAATATCAGTTTAGTAACCATGAGTGATTCAGAAACAACATTCGATAAAGAAAATAAATCACCAATAAAAGGAAAAAAATGTAAAGAAAATCCTAAAAAATGGAAACGACAAAAGATGAAGCAAGCTCGTCAGAAAGGATCTTATACTAACACGTCAGGTAAGCTAGTAGAAGTTAAAACTACTGGATCAGATTGTGTTTGTAAACATTAGTACATGAAGAAATTTATTAAGGAAAATAGGAAGACAATTATTTGCAATTTGGCGAAAGGTAAATGTAAAAATGAGGCTGATACCTTTTTTTTGACTTCATGCAAAACCTCCCTCTTCCGCACATACCTGTTCAAGACTTTAGATTCTGTTCAAGAACTTCATCCATTCTCTGATGGCTGCCCTGGGCAATATAAAAACCATACTCTTGTTTGATTTCTAGTTGTTCTACAATCTGGAAAGCGTTTTAAGAAAATTTATCATTATTTTCCTACACCGGAACACTCATTCCTTCCCTGTGATAGAGATTTTGGTACTATCATTTATGGTTACAAAGATCATGGACATTTTAAATTTCAAGGACATTTTAAATTTCAAAGATTGGTGGATTACTGTTTATAAAAAAGTCCCAAAACCCATCAGAGACAACATATGCGATTGTGCATTTTCTGTGTCGGATTATAAAATGTTTGCTTATGACAGTACAATGCCTGGGTATGTGATAATATATGTCTTTATTAATGGACTATGTTCCAGAACTTTTAAACTTGTAAAAAATTGAGTTGAGCAACAACTGGCCACGAAGAAAGTTTATCAGGAACCAGTTGCAATAAATGAAAAAAGATCAATGATATTAAAAAGCTAAAATATTACATTCTGGAAAAACAACTAAGTTTAAAAAATATATATGTATTCCTGGAAAATAATTGGCAGCATCGAGGAAGATAGTTAACTTTTTTTTTTATTGCAATGACTATTGTTTGTTAATTTAAATACTTGTTTAATAAAGTATAGCTTTTCATGTAAAGTTCGCAGTTTTTTTATTCCCTAATTTGTAAAAATTTGATTGTGAGGAAAAATAGTACTTGTCCAAGGATTTTATTTAATTTTGCAGCAAGAACAACTTCTTTTTTATGAACTACTACTATATTAACAGGTCCTTAGGGAATGGAAGTAAACACATGCTAAGATAACTGGCATCCAAAGTAAATAGTTTATAAACCATAACTGTTTAAATATTTAAATATATAATTAAAAAAATTGTTTACATTAAATAAGTTCAGTTCTTGACTACAATACTATCCTACAAATTTTGTGCATTTTTAACTTGGTTTTGTAAGGTTTTGTAAGGTTTTGTAAAAAGTATAAAAAAAAGGTTCAATTGCAATATTAGTTATTTTATTGATAAAATATGTTTTGTTAATAATAAAACAAAATTTCAAAATCAATTTACACACATTTTATCAAACAATTAATCTCTTTGATTGTAAATCATAAAAAAATAATAATATTTCCTGATTCCTCCTTTTAACAAAATGACTTTAGCTATTCGGTCTGGCATACTTCAATACAGTTTATTGTTGCTGTCCTAATTTTTTCATTGTGGTGCCAATGATAGGCAACTTCTCCATCAAATTCTTTTTGTTTGTTAAAACCTTGGAACAGATTTCCTTCTTGAGAATGTTCCACAAATTCTCAATTAGATTCAGGTCAGGAGAATTCCCCTGGCCAGTCTAAATTAGATTGCTTTAAGTTTTATGGCATGATAGTACTATCATGCTTAAAAGTTAATGTATTGTCATTTGGAAACCATTCTTGTATTTGGGGGATAAGTCGGCTCTCCAGAACCTCTTGATACTGTATTTAGGTCATTATAAAATTGACAATACATAGCCTTCCTGTGCCTCTTCCACTGATAACAGACCTCATCATAACTTTAGTTGGATGTTTAATAGTTTGTACAATGCAATCTTGATGATATTTTTTGTTTGGTCTTCTTCAGACGAAGGTGATTTTGTCCAAGAAGATCTTAAAAGTTGATTCGTTTGAAAAGCACACCTGAAATAATTGACATAATGTGGTTGTAATTAAGTTTATGTCAACATTTAAACACTTCCAACAATATTTCATTAAAAACTAATAAACTTACTTGTTTCTAATCTGCAACAGTCATATGTTTATGATTTTTTGCCCTTTGCAATCTCTTTTTTATCATTGCTGAAGTTAGCCTTGGTTTTTTAGCCATGATTTTAAACCATCATCAGCCAGGCGTCTCCTCACTGTGTGCTCAAAAACTTGTTTTTTAGAATCTTAAACAAGTTTTGTCAAGAAGAAGGATGGCTTTTTTTCTTTTCCAGACAAAGATATCATATAATTCTGTTTGTCCAGGGAGTGGTTTTATGTTTTGACCCAATCTCACTTTTCCTTTTTGGAGAAAGAGTGATGTTGATTTCCATTTTGTTTTTGATTTTATTGACAAAAAGTCACAAAACTTTACACATTTTAGCAGTTTATAGTTGTAAATGCTCTGATTGTTGTAAAAGTGCTTTTCTAATATTTTGCTTCGACTTATGTCCTTACTCTTACCCATGTTTATGTATATTATTGTATGTATGTTATGTATATTATTGTTTATGTATATTATATGTATATTATTGAAAATTTCAATTTAATTGATTTTGGATGTGGAGGAATGCCTAGGAGCTTTGTCCCATCAGTTCCAGGTATTGAAAATCAGTCATCCATTCCTTTAGAATCAAGAGTGTCTGTTTTGTTGATGGCATTCAATTTTCTTTGATCTTCAAACTTTATTTGGGTACAATGGCAGTTAAGACATAGCTTGTAAGGGTCACCCTTGCATGCTGATACAAGAGCAGAGGCGGTTCTATGAATAAAATGAGGGGTATGAATCCTCAAAAAGTACCGACTGGCTTCTTTTAAAAAAAAAAAAGGTCCTCAAAACAAAAATTTAACTGACCGAATCATGTCAAATACTTGACCAGCCAACTAAATTTGTAAAAAAACTGATTATAACTTGAAAACCACCTTGAAAATACACCTCCCTCCTAAAATCGCTTCTGTACAAGAAAGTATGCAATTGTACTAAGTTGGATGAGATGTTTTTATGAATACTGCATGAAACAAGATCAGGGAACAAAAATATCTAATATATGTCACATCTAACTATTCTTCTGTGTTTCCTATCTTCACTTCACAAGAGCTACTGACAGGTTATGATTTATCGTTTCAAAAGTACACTTACATGAGTTCATTTAATCTTGTTCCAGATTATTTTTTTTCTTTTTATTTGCTTTTTTGTTTTTTCTGTGACTACCTTGTTTACCCCAAAATATGTAGCTACTCTATCACATAGCATGCTATTTATAAATTTAACATCAATGCCATCTTGTTCAACTTTATTTACCTTCTATTTTTTAGAGGCCATGTCCTTTACAACTGAGTGCTTATAAAATTTCATTGTCAAATTCAATTCTGCTTTAAATTTAACTATTCTAGGTTTATCTATAGGTTGATAATAGATAAGTTATAATAATAATAACATTAATACTTATAGAGTAGGGTAAAAAATATAGCATATTTTTTACCCCATTATACAGCATAAAGAAATTATTCATTTTATTTAGTTTAACTCAAATATATTTCTGAACATTTTAGCTTGGTAAAGATTGTTTTCACAAATCCCACTGTTTTGACTACAAGAATGATGTTGCTTTTCATTTAGCAGAATCAAAGCTTGGAATAGGTTTTCTATTATTTGCATTTTAAGTGATTTAATGTTACTGTTATTTTATTATATTTTTTTAATTAAAATTGATGCATCTAACATTGTTTCAAAATTGTTTTATGATTTAAAATCTAAAACTAAATAAAAATGTAAAGTATTATTAAAATTAAGCTATGCAAATTAACCATTATTTGTCAGGAGCTAAAACAAAAACTATTTAAAAAAATAAATTTCTAGCATCTTATTTTACTGTCCAACAATTAATATGTTTTTTGATCTTCTCATTCTTGCAAAGTTTGTGGCTGAAAGATTCGTGCATTAGATGTAGCCAGTGAATATTAAAAGCTTTTAATAAAATTTAGCATGCTATAAAATCATTTTTTTCTAACCACAGTATTAAAGTCACCCTCAAAAGCTTCATTTCCAGTAACTTCTCGGGTCCCTCAAGGTTCTATCCTTGGTTCTGTATTGTTTCTTATCTACATTAATAATCTTCCTGACAATGTTACATCTAAATTTGGCTTGTTACTAACTGATAAGTGTTTACATATTGCCAAACTAGGCTCACCATGTAGCCAAATTGCAGTGCTTTATTACATTTGCCTAAAATAAAAAAACTTTAAAATGGACTAAATATTTATGCAAAAATTGTCAAATCTTTCTAAATGTATACAAATGGTAGTTCTTTAGCTAGTGTTATACAAGCTGGAACAAATATTTATAGTACTTGTATTATGGCAAGTGTATTTATATTATGGCAATATGATATTTGATATTTAATGGTATTGTTTTGTTTATAGTTAGTCTGAGACCGAATTGAAAAGTAATATTTTTATTTAATAAACCATTTATAATTACAATTATGTGATTGTTCTCTAGCAACAATCATGAGTAAATGTTTTTAATGTAATTTTTAGTTCTTTTGAAAAGCCATAGTTTGAATTATGTTTCATGAGAATCTGAAAAAAAATCTAGTGTTAAATTTTGGTATTCTATGTTTACTTAGTCAATGGGTTGTCTAGTTTTATTAAGGATTGCTGTTTCTTTCATAAAGCTTATAACTAATTTTAATTATATAAATAATTTAATTTCTTTTTTTTAATAATAATTTAATAAATAAATGATAAATAATTTTATTTTAATTAGTGATTGAAAATTAAACTTCAAAGTGCTGATATACAGATAGACTTTTCTTATAGAAAATGTGCACTTTATACTCATTTTTTCCAAATTTTTCTCCTTTCCAATTATCGCCATGCTTTTTGATTGAAAACTTTGATCACATCTTCTAAATTTTCTTTCATAAGGAGATAAAGAGATTTTTTGTAAGGAGTTTTATGAATTTTTCAACAGAAATGAAAAATATCATTAAGTTATTTTCTTTATAATTTTTGCCAATTATTTGTTGTTGTTTTTTTGCCTATAAGTATGTGCACATGTTTGTCTAACACAAATGTTATAATTTAAGGAATTATTTATCCTATTCTGTCATTTATACTTTTCTATCATATTTTTTAAACTTATATTATGTGCCTTATTTTAATTTCTATACTGTCTCTATATATACTACATAGTGTATGTTTTGAAAAAAGAACTTTTCAAAATATTCTTCAACAAATTTATTTGAAATGTTTAGGAAGAGATATTATGCCAGGTGTTAAACAAAAAAAAAAGCTGATATACTTGAAAAGCTCTGAATCTTCTTTGCCAGCATGGGTTGCTTTTGATAAACAAGTTCTTTGTTTTAATGGATATTTTCAGGAAATAGTTCATGAAAAGCAAGATGAGAAATACCGTTTCAGAAAGTGCAAAATTTACTTTTACCTCGAAGATAATACAATACAAGTTATAGAATTAAAAACTGAAAATAGTGGCATTCCTCAAGGTACTTTAATAAGACGCCATCGTATTCCATTGCCACCACCTAATAGTGATGAGTTTTATACAGTTGATCATTTTAATATTGGAATAGAAATTAAACTTTATTCTAGATTGTTTCATATAACAGTAAGTTTATTTTTTACTTATTAAAATAAACAAATATTATTCTTAAAAATGTAAGTCTTAAATATTCTCAAATTAGTTTTTACTATATAAGAGCATTTATAATCTTTTACCAACAAATTTTATGGTAATAAACAACTCAAATTATACTGTTTAATCATAGCTTTTAGCTAATTTTGTTTTATCTTAACTTGCATTTGATTAATTTTGTTTTATCGTGACTTCTATCTGCTGATTATTATTTTTTTTCATGCTTTTTTGTTAATATTGTCACATATTTATTATTATATTTTAAAGAAAAAAGAAGTTTATGGAAAGCATTATATTTGCTATTCACTGTTCAGCTTAATAAAATTTATTTTGAATTTATAAAGATTGTTATTTTGGAAAAAATTTTTTTTTAATCTTTTATACTTTTAGGGCTGTGATAGTTTCACTGAGAAATTTTTGCGCAAACTTGGTGTTCGAGTTAATCCAAAAGAGATAACCCCAGAAGATCCTTATGAAAAGCATCGGCAACAAATACGAGATAGTATGCAGCCATTGAGACCATATGAAAAAGAAGACACCTTGTTTAAATTTTTAGAAAATGACAGTAAAGTTCTTCGTTTCTATTGTTATTGGGATGATTCAGAGTCACTTTTTGGTGACCAAAGAGATTTTGTGCTTCACTATTTTTTAGCAGATGATACGGTAGAGATTAGAGAGATAATTCCACCAAACTCTGGAAGAGATGCAGTTCCTTTGTTCTTAAGACGCCAAAAGTTACCCAAGGCAGTTTTAACAATAAATTTCTTGATTTTTATTTAAATTGCTTTTTATAGATATAATATACTAAAATAAAACAATAGTTAATATTTTCTTTCACATTTCATTTTTCCAACAGTTATAGTTTACATAATTTTTTATTTTTTAATACATATTGCAATATTTCTACACATTTATTTTTATTCATTTTAAATTTACTTTAAAACTTGAGTTAATTGTATATAAATCAAGTAAATATATCTATTTTACAAAAATATTAACTTTTTTTTTGCCTAAAGGTTGCAGCAGGTACATTTCAGCCTGGTCAAATAAATAATCGTACTGTGCTCAATGTTTTTGGACCAATGGGTCGGGGAGGTCGCTATATACTAGACAGTTTAAAAACTGGAGCTGTTCATACAGATTATTATCATGATAGTGATGTGAGAATTGGTGAAGTTTTGAATGTTTGGGGAAGAAGTTTTATTGTTTGTGACTGTGACGAGTTTACAAAAGATTATTATAAGTTTAAGTATGGCATTGGTAAGTTAAAAACTAACCCTTTTTTTCTGATAATTGTAAGTTTTTTTGTGAATTATGAGAAATGTTATTAAATTTAACAACATGTAACTCTAATTTATTTTTTTATTAGATAATTTTACTCCTTTGAACTATAAATTTAAGAAGATTGATCAAAAACACAGAGATGTTGTAAACTATAAAGATAGTAAAATTGGTTTTGAAGAAGATTCATCATTTAACAGTTTAGCTTTGACTCCAAAACCACCAAAAAAAGATTTTAAAAAGTTTATGGAAAGAGACAGGTTCAAAGTTTTTCAGTTTTAGAAATTAAAACAAGTGCCATTAAAAAAAATATATATTATTTTGAGTTTTACAATATTGTAAATATAATTTTAAATGAATTAAATAAGCCAATAATAAGTTTTTTTTTGCTAATATTTGATTAATATCTTATTCGTAAAATTAAAAAAAAAAAAATTGGAAATTTATGTTAAAACTTAAATTCAATTTTCTTAGTTGCAAACAAAATGTTTTTTTCCTGTACTATATTTAATTTGTATATGATATCTAAGTTTATATATTTTATTATAATAGTAATTAATTACAGTAATTTTTTTAAATATGTTCCAGTATTTTAGACTTTAGGTTTTGTAATCTAAGATAAAATGTCAATAGCAACCTGCTATTGATTACTGGTAATCAGTAGCAATTTGCTACTGTTTACCAGTAGTGAACTGCTACTGACATGATCTTATAGAATAATGTATATGGTATGTAAACTTTTTTACATTGTTTTCTGCTTTAAATTATAATTAGCCCGTACTTTTTTGATTTAATTGAGAGGCTTTTGCTTATGTCTCCTTGAAAGTGGCTATACAACTTTTTTTGTCATGTCCAATGAGGATACAGCTCTATAAATTTAGTTTAATAGCTCTAAAGCTGGCAGGTAATCTGATTATGCTTTTATGTGTTTTTCTTAACACCACTTCACTCCTTTTTGTTATTTATTATTCATCAACATACCCAAGACTGTTTTATTTTTGATGCTGTTTCTCATAAAGTTGACAAAGCTTGTTCTTTTTACCTTTTTTGTTAATATTGTTATTTTGATGACATTTATTTTTGTTCTACTAAGTTGCTTGGCTATCATGGCCTTGGCTATCATGACTATGAACTTTACAGTCCCTTATTTTATATGCTGTGAGTGGTTTAAAAATATCATCAAGTTTATCTCATAAATATTGTTTTTAACAGATTCTCAGCACACAAAAGTTTAAAAAAGTTTTTTGAACCAAAAATGCCTTTTTTTAAGGTTTAGTGATCTCTTAGTTTTATAGTTGTTCTTTTAGAATTTTTTCTAATTATATGCTGGTCATGCAAGATTATGCCCAGGTTTATTGCTATTTATTTTTTAAGACATGTCTAATGTTTGTTATTGTCATATTCTTTTAAATAATTTTATGTTTTCATAAATCAAAATTTTACTACAATCATTTTATGCGTTATTATTTATTAAATGTCTCATTATTATTCTATTGCTCATTAGGTATATAATGCCTCATTATTACATATAACCTTCAATGGATTGTAAATATTTAATCGTGTGTTTCTAAAACACTGCAAATTCTTGGTATGCTCAAAAAAGATTTATCAATGAAAATGTTGTACTAAAATTTTATAAATTCTTATGACTGTAGATCTTTTCTTCTATCTAGATGTCTTTCTTAATAGTTGAAATATATTTGCTAGAATCTTTTTCATTCAAAGCAACTATATTGGCTCCTAATGCAAAATTTTTATAATTTCCCAAGTAAAGAAAAGTTTATAAAATGATTCACTGTTTAGACTTTGCTATTCATCTGAGTTTATCAACTTTTTATGTTTTGGTCATCATTTTAAATGCTTGTCTAGATTCTTTTATAGACTCATAGTAGATCAACAAAAGGTTTTAAACAAACTGCATAAAAAAAATACAACTTACTGTTCAATGCATTTTTTAATATCATATTTATCTAAATGAAATAAAAAAAAAAATTTATTTCATTTAGATCTTGATGCACTTCATCTTTGATGATGCAGCTCTTTAGATCGTAACCATCTAAAGAGCTGCATCAAAGATGAAGTGCATCTCTTTAGATGACTGGTGATTTAGTTTTATTATATTATATCTGATCCATTAAGTTATATTATATCTGATCCAATAAGTTATATTATATCTGATCCAATAAGTTATATTATATCTGATCCAATAAGTTATATTATATCTGATCCAATAAGTTATATTATATCTGATCCAATAAGTTATATTATATCTGATCCAATAAGTTATATTATATCTGATCCAATAAGTTATATTATATCTGATCCAATAAGTTATATTATATCTGATCCAATAAGTTATATTATATCTGATCCAATAAGTTATATTATATCTGATCCAATAAGTTATATTATATCTGATCCAATAAGTTATATTATATCTGATCCAATAAGTTATATTATATCTGATCCAATAAGTTATATTATATCTGATCCAATAAGTTATATTATATCTGATCCAATAAGTTATATTATATCTGATCCAATAAGTTATATTATATCTGATCCAATAAGTTATATTATATCTGATCCAATAAGTTATATTATATCTGATCCAATTGTGAAATAACATGATTCTTACTCTTCTAAATATGTTTGGATGTACTAAAAGAAAAACTAATAAACAATGATTGCTAAAAAATCAATGAAATAAATTTTTTTTTTTCCCATAAGTCTGTTTTTATCTTATCTCAGCTAAAAAAAAATTTTTTAAACTGAAATTTTTTTTAAAGCAAAGCATATATACTATTAATATAGGTAGAAGTTCTTTCAGTTTATAGTTTACATATAAATATTTTTATATTGTTAAATTGAAATACAACAGATTTTTTTTTCAAAAAAATCTGTTGTATTTCAATTTAATAATATGAAAATATTTATATGTAAACTATAAAAAGAAAAAGAGTTATACTTGTTAAAAAGAAAATATGTGAATTTTACTTTCCTTGTTATTATTTTTATTTATTTCTTAGATATGGATTAGACAGTAAAGTACTTCGCTTTGTGGCAATGCAAAACACAAAACAAGTAATAGAAGTGGATCGACGATTTATTATCTCATATTTTTTATCTGATGATACATTTTTAATATTTGAACCTCCTCAAAGAAATTCAGGATTGATTGGAGGAAAGTTCTTAGAAAGAGGAAGAGTTAGGAAGCCAAATAGTGAAACTTATTATTCTGCTCAGGTGCTTATTTGGAACTTTCAAGTTTATGAAATTGATAACTTCTAATAGTTTACTTATTAAATAGGGAAAAAGAATAAAAATATTTTTTATTATCACATTTTAAAGAAATGAAAAATAAATAACAATAAACAAAATATAAATTTCTTTAAAGGATTTATACGTTGGAAATCACATTGAGCTCTGCAAACGTACCTTTATTATAATTGGGGCTGATGAATATGCTCTCAAGTACATGGAAGAGCATTCAGAAGAATTTCCTCAAGCTAACATTAGTCTTATTGTACCAAAATTTAAAAAATTAGTTCATAATCATGCAAGTGATATACAAAGGATGTTTCAAATGGCTGATAAAACAAATAAACAATTGGTTCCTTTTGATACATTCAAGTATGTATATTAATAACATTTTATATATATATATATATATATATATATATATATATATATATATATATATATATATATATATATATATATATATATATATATATATATATTAGGGTGTCCCAAAAGAAAACTTTTTAGGGTTTTAAATATATCCTGGTTACATGCATAAAAATAAGCAATTTTATCAAATTTAAGGTATTAAGGGCCCTTAGAAGTGTTAGGTGTAAAGACTGAAAAACAGACACTTTTGGATTTTTTATATGGTTTTCCACATAAATGATTTATTTCCACCTCTTTTTCATTTAATTACTTGGAATTTACAAATAAGCTATGTTAATTTATAAATATTTTTTTATTATAAATTATTGTTTATTATTATAAATTATTATAAAGTATTGTTATTTTAATACTATTACAGAAATTATGTATATTACATTAACTAAATTAATGAAGCAATAACAGTTTATGTTTTTAAATATATAAATAAATAGTAATATGGAAATAAACAATAAATAATGCAGTAAAACCAGCTGTAAAAAAAGAAAATTTGAAGATATTGGAAAAAAAAAAATTAACAATGTGGTAGAAAACCCAAGGAGACCATTGTATCTTTTGAACACACACATTTTAGAACTTCCCAAAAACCAGTTGCCTGCAAATGGAGAAATTTTAAGAAGATATTGTTATATTGTTTCCTCAAAGCAATTAAGGCATAAGTCAACAATATCAAAGATTAGTTGCTCCATGGAGAACGGAGGGTATCAGCTAAAATGTCAACTCCCTGGTGCAAAATGTGAGACAGGTATCAAAGATTGTCTTGTCAAAGAAGTAGTAAATGTCTGGTGCAAAGCGGGTTTTCAAAAAGACTTCTTGATGAAAAGTTGGACCATTAGAGATAAGATTATAAAGCTCAACAAAAAATGGAGAAAGCAAATAGATCTTAAAAAGTAAGATTTTCTTAATATATTTACAATAAATTGTTATTTTATTTTAACTGTCAACCTCTTTTAAAGTTGTGAATGTGTAAGTTGTGTCTTTTTTTCATATTAGATTGAACTTCTCTTCAAAAGAAAATCTTTCAATTCTCGAAACCGACTATAAAAAAACTTTAAATGAACTTTTGACATAGGTTGCAAAAATAATTGACATAGGTTGCAAAAATATTGTAATGAAAATCAAAGCTGATCACAAAAGATCACTTGATGCCATTAAAGAAGACATTGAGTTCTTAACTGACCAAAATCAACTAAAAAAATGTATATAAATGAGGATATTGATATGATTTAACAAAAGAGAATTGAACATAGGAGTAAGACAAAAAACTTAAAATGTTCATAGAGAATTTTTTTGAAAATCATATTGTCTCTAATTTTGATACAGAATCAATAAAATTTGAGTCAAATTTATCTACTGATTCATTTTTTCATGTATCTAGTGAAGAAGATAAAAATTTCTCTGTCCCATTAACAACAAAAAAAAAGGATCTGATGAGCTGCACCTTTCAATATTAGGAGACAGATTAATAAAAGGAACAAGTGAAGTTGCTACAAGATTTCATCTTGGTGTTAGGGATCATACAGCAATTCTTTCCTCAATTCTAAAGCATTCTAATAAAGGGGAAGAAATTAGAAATAGATATAAAAATGTTCTAATTGGTAAGAAACTTTTGCTTCATTTTGGTGGTAAATTGTGCAATGAATGGGATCTTGAAAATAAAATTACTGTTGAAATGGAAAGGATTGCAATAAGTGTGACTGTTCCTGAGGATGATAATAATAGTGATATTCTGCTAGGAGTGTTCCAGGCAAGTTCATCTTCACCAAGCAAAACAAATAAAAAAGGTACTAGAAGATTTTGAAATTGAAAATAACATTTTTGCTGTTTGTACTGATACAACTGCTTCAAACACTAATGGACATAATGGAGAAATCAAACTTATAAGTAGGTATGTTGTCAGGAACCAAGTTTTTAAATTAAAAAAAAAAATTGGCTTGAAAATTTTCAGGTATGCAATGAAGATATTCATTCATTAGACAGATTTAATTTCAACATTTTAAAAAACAATTCTTACATGCATCATATTGCATAAGAAGTTAAAGAATATTTAGGAAATGCCATTACCCTGAAAACCTTTTCCAAGATGAGAACAGACTATATAAGATTATATGAACTAGGTTCTTTCTATTTGGGTAACGAAGTACCAAATTTCTACCATTATCAACCCCCTGCTTGTCATGATATGATAGCAAATGGAATATATTTATTAATGCTTCAACTAACTCATAAGAAACTGAAATTTATGTCAGTGGAGGAGATAAAAGATGTCAACAAAATTGCACCTTTTGTAGCAATATTTTACATTTCTTGTAAAATTGCACCTTTTGAAGCAATATTTTACATTCCTTGTTTCTAAAGTCATCTATCATAATCCAGGCACCATCTAATGATCTCAAAGCTATTAAATTAGCCGAAAGCATAGAGGAAGAAGACGAAATAAAGAAGAAAAAAAAGGCAAAAGTCTGAAAAAATCTCTTCTTAGGCATACATGGTACTTGGCTGAAGATGTTGTAATTGTGTCACTAGCAGATCCAGGTGTAACTAATGAAGAGAAATTCCTAATGATACAAAAACTCACTAATTATCCTTATCCTTAAAATATTTTTTCTTTTGAAATAAAGACACCTAAGTTAGAGATGAGATAATCATTAACAAAAACACTCATTTGCACAAATTTGTTGGGAAAAACAGCTAGCATTATATCTTGTATCTTAATATACAAGATATAATGTTTTGGATTTCTGATGGAAAATTTGTAGATCTTCATCTCACCTTAAAATTTTTTAAAGATTTTGTTTCAAATATTCAGTGCACAAATGACTGCTCTCAAAGAAATATTTGTCTAGTGCAAGATTTCCTGGCAGTCAGTCATAATGAAAATCAGAGACAAAACATCATGATGGTTGCTAAAGAGAATAAAAAAAGTGTTGTTAAAAGAATGAAAAAAAGTGATTTGAACAATATAACTCCTTAGCAAAAAGTATTTAAGATTAAATGTAACTTTTTTTTTCCACTTTAATCAAACTTTTGTTATTTTGAACCAAAATAAACTGTTTTTTCTTCGGATTGTTATATTATTTAATTTAATTTAAATTTTTTTTTCTTTAAATTAGACATTTTAAAGAAAAAAAAAATCTACACCTAACATTTTCTCAAGGTTTAAAGACCTAAAATTTTGCATTTTTCTTTTAATTAAGATATACAACCAGGATGTGTTTCAAACCTTTTGCTTCTGTGAAAAAGTTGTATTTTTGGGACACCCAATGTTAAAACTAAATTCAATTTTCTATATATATATATATATATATATATATATATATATATATATATATATATATATATATATATATATATATATATATATATATATATATATATATATATATATATATATATATATATATATATATATATATATATATATTTATATGGTAATATATATATATATATATATATATATATATATATATATATATATATATATATATATATATATATATATATATATATATATATAGACTTCTTTTTATATTAGAGAAGCCCATTGTTTTTAGATCAATCATAAAACAAATTTGTGGTGATCAAATTACTGACCATGAAATTTTAACTCTGTGCAGAGCATTTTCTGAGAAAAAGGTAAAGGTTCAGCTTAAAAAGAAAACCAAAATTAGTTTTTTTTTTTAAACTGTATTTTACTTATTTCTAATTTCAAATTTTCCCTTTATTATTTTAATAATGAATTAATTTTAAAAAGTTGTAATTATTATATGAAGTATAATAATAATAGTTTCAGTTTGCTCTTGTTCACTGTAGGTGACAAGTCAAAGACAGTGTGGAACTGATTAAAGATGATTTGTCCCATAAGAATGATTGCATGTTTACTTTAAAAAATATAAAATATTTCTTTTAAGTAGAATCCAACAATATTAAATGATCAGTAATTTTAACAAAATGAATAATATTTTTAAATTTAGATCAAATTAAGATCAGTAATTTGATTATTTTTTTCAGTAAAACAAATAAAACAGTATGTAGATTAGTTAAATTATAAAACAGTCAGTAGATTAATTAAATTGATCGGTAGATTTATTAAAATGGCGTAGTTGATTCAAATATTTCAAGTAAAAACAGAACTTTGATCAAATTTTTATTCTTAAAATACTGATGATAATAATCCTAAATAGGTAAAACATACAGGAAGTATATGCACATAGACTGACTTAAATAGGTAGAACATGCTGGCAGTGTACATACGTTTTGGTTTAAACAGGCAATCTATCAGTTTAAAGAAAAACTTTTTTTTTATATTTTTAATTTTTTTCTGGTCTCTTATATCAACTTTTTGGTTAAAAAAAAATTACTTATTGCGTATTAAATCTCTATATAATAATGCTGAATATAATAATAGTATTATTATTATTTATATTTTTCATTGGATAATGATATTCTTTTTGAAGATGAAAAATTTATTAAAGTTGTAGATGTCTTAGTGTTGGAGTTGTCTAATGCTAAAACCAGTTGAAAGTATTTTTTTTTGTTGCATAATTTGCTCTAAAAAACATGTCTCAAAGAGGCCTTACAAGGCATACAAAGTATCTCTTTGAATTTAAGAATGCAAAATTCAAAACTACCTATTTTTTTAACAAATTTTCTTGATAAAATTATTACAACCTTTTATCAATAATGAATGCTATCCTGATTTGTATAAAGATGAATTAATAATTAAATCATGTAATGCATTTAGATACTTCACAACAAATTCTATATCTATTAGAGGTAACAATAGTTACTTTTAAAGCCGATGGTGATGCAGAAAAGTTTTTTCCTAAATTTTACAAAAATGTTAATTGTGAAAGATAATGGAATTTATATTTGTGATAAATCAATGAGACTTGGCTATGAAATATGCAATCATGTTTTAGCATTTCTCACAAATTCATTTTACAATAATTTTTTTACAAATTTAAATTATTTATTGTCTGTTAAACTTTCAGACATAAGTAAAATTATTTATCTTTTATCTTAGTGGTTATGTATTCAGCACGTTTATTGCAGAATTTTCAGTTATGGCAGCAAAAGTTAAACAAAGACTGCTTTTCATTTCTTAATGCTGGTAAAACAACTTTTTTTTTTGAGAATCCAAAAGCATGTACTTAATCTTATCAAAACTTTGAGAATGCTAAAATCATGGTGGATTGTGGAAAGTTTTACAAAAGTTAAGTTTCTCGTTTGTCATCAAACTAATGGCTTTGCAAAAAAAAATTAATTCAAAATTAGTTGTTCCTGAAATTTTAAAAAACAATGGAGTTTTGTACAACTTTTCTGAAACTTTAAAAAGCTGTGGAGTTTTGGCCAACATATTTAAAATTTTAAAAAATAGTAAAGTTTTGGCCAACATACCTGCTCTTTGTTATTTTTGCACAAAAAACAGTGGAGTTTTGGCCAACATACCTGCACTTAGTTATATTTGTAGAAATTAAGTATCCAAAGAACTGTATTTAAAACTTATTTTATCATTTAGTTACAGTTTATGTCAGAATATGGTCTTTTTGATATGCAAAACAAAAACTAAGTATCTACAATCTCAAAGAGAATCAGACTCAATCAAAATCTTCATTAAAAAATAAAAAAATATTGGATTTGATTAAATAGACAAGTGGCTTATCACACAAACAGTTATTTTTATTACCATAAATCACATAAAAGAATACTTTGCATAGTAACTTAATCAACTGTTTTTTATAAAAAAGAATAATTTAAAAAAAAAGTTGTTTATTGTTTGTTAATAAAAGCTAAATAAGAACCCTTCCTTTCCTAAAAAAAAACAAAATTGTTATGATCTAAAATTAACTATACACGTGGTAGTTTTATATTTATAATAATCATCAAAATATTTACAGGTTTTTTTAATCTAACTTTTGAATAATCTAACTTATTGCTCAGGCTAGAGCAAAAACTTAGATATATAATAGAAGTTTTTATTTTTATCAGTAAGATTACATAATCAACTTTTAAAAGCTTGACAATAATTTTATACGCTCACATATCAACAAATGTTAACATTAATATTCCTATAAAATCACAAGTTTTGGTTTTGTATTTTATGTTTTGTATTTTTGGTTTTATATTTTAGTAATGAATTGAAAATTGACTAACTTGTAGAACATGAGTTCTTTTATTTTTCTTATAATAAAAATATAAGTAAAAAATAGCTACCCAACTGTTTCTGTACATCATAAATAAGCAGAAATTGCAGGGTATCTATTTCTTACTTTTATTTTTAATAAAAAAAGAATAAAGAAGCCCACACCTTGCAAGTCAGTGTGAGGTTTCGCCTCTTAATTAGTATTAATAACTTCTCCAAATGTGGCAACTTAACTATACATTGCTTGACTAATTACATAGAACTTAGAGAAACAGCTTTAAAAAAAGGATTGTAGGCATCTGTTTGTATTAAAGGCTTACCCCTACCACCTTTCTAAATTTGTGTAAATATTTGTAAAAACCAGGGTATTTTTTAAGTGTAGATAAAAATTTTTTTTAATTTTTTAGTATATTTATTGTGAGAAAATTACAATTTACAACAAAAAATTTACTGCAGGAAAACTAGAATATATAACAAAAGATTTACTGTGAGAAAACTACAAAATATAACAAAAGATTTACTGTGAGAAAACTACAAAATATAACAAAAGATTTACTGTGAGAAAACTACAAAATATAACAAAAGATTTACTGTGAGAAAACTACAAAATATAACAAAAGATTTACTGTGAGAAAACTACAATATATAACAAAAGATTTACTGTGAGAAAAATACAATATATAACAAAAGATTTACTGTGAGAAAACTACAATATATAACAAAAGATTTACTGTGAGAAAAAACTGATGCATAGTTATTGCATGTTTTTCCTAGTCAGTTTTTATTTATTATTTAGTATTTATATATATATATTTTTTGTTATATATTGTTATATTATTTATTATATATAATATATTTTTATATATTTCAATATTTATATATTTTTTCAAGTCAGTATTTATTATTCAATATTAATATACAATAGTGGCACTAATAAATGAATAATAATTATGCATCAATCTAATAAATATAAAAGTAGTTGCAGATAGTTATTTTGGTACCTTATTATTTTTTAAAGACATACGGTATAATGAAATTCAAACATGACTTTTGAAATGGGTATTCCTACTGTCCAAATCTCCTAATTGCTAATGCAGTTTAAGAACTCATCAAATGATTTATATATAGTATTTAAGGCAATAATACTACTTGTGTTTATTAAAGCACCTATTTTAGTAATGATGGCTCATACAGATTCACTTTGTATTGAAACTGATGAAATGAAACTATTTCTTTGGTAAGCACAGAGTTAGCAATTATCCAGGTTTTAGTGTCTTTTTTTTTTTGTCATTATAAAGTACCATTTCTGGAAGATAATGCTTTTGTTGCTTTCTTGTTGATATCTGGAAGATAATGCTTTTTACAAATAAACACATGTTTATTTTTTATTTGAGTTTTCAAATCTACAACAGGAATTCCATCCTAGAATTATTAAAATTATTGTTAAAAGCAGGAACTTTGAGTATTCAAACTCCTTTATGCCTCCTTGAAGCACTGCATCTATAAATAGTACAATTAACACCAGGTATTCAAATTATTGGACAAAGAAAATTCAATTTTTACAAGCAGTTCATAGACAAAAAATGGACAAAAACTATTTTTATGCACTCTGTCTGAACACTAGAAAAATGTAAATAAAGAGCAAAATAATCAAAGAAATACAACAAGTTGCCAGACTATCTATTTCTTCTGACTATGGTATAAATGTAAGTGTAAACATTAGTAGGTAAGTTGAGTTGGTGAATCATATATGTAAAGATCATGTATGTAAAATTATAATATAAAACTTTTCAGAATATTTAAACAAATATAAGTTTTTTGGCTTAAACTGTTTTGTTTTGTATTTAAAAAAGCAACAAGATTGAAAATAGGCAAAAAAAATCTTCAAAAAAATTAAAATATTTTTACTTGTGAGTCTTTTTTTCTACTGTTTTTAATGAAAATTAAATGATATTCAATCAAAAAGTTTGAATTTTATATTAAAAAACATGACTTTTTACTTGTGATTTTTTTAATTTTTAACTTTTTTTTTATGTATTTAAAAAAAAAAAAAAAAAGATGAAAATGAATTATTCTTTATATCATTTACTAAGCTATTTAAATATTGTTGAAGTGTTGTAATTCAAATTGTTATAATATTTGCACTAGTACTTTTAATAGTGTTTACATTGTTTTAATTCATATAGTTATATGCATTGGATAATTTAACAATTAAATGGAAGACTTACCTAAACCCATCATTATCATTCTTCACATGTATGAGTTTCACAAATATATTTTTTTGTTAAAAATTTATTTTAGGTTACTTTTATTTATTCTATAGATATGTTGCTTATTTTCATTATTGAAACAGAAAAGTTGTTGCATGTAAAGTTTAACAGATTTGACATATCTTGACATGACCTATTTTACAGGTCCTATTTTGTTAGTTAAGTTACTGATCGATCAATTAATTTAATTGTTTTATGTTCTATGATAAGTTAAATCTTACTGTTCATTTAAATAAAAAATATTGGTCATTTAAATCTCACCCAAATAAAATGCTTTTAAAAAACTGGGCTGTATAAAATATTTTTTAAGTTTGTTTTAGCAAATAATATATATAATCTATATATATTAAAAATATATGGTATATAATAATTTGATAAGTATTTTTCATTTAAATACTTTCATAGCATGAGGAAGAAAATTTTGATGAGCTAGTTGCATTGTTGCAAGAACAACTACGCAAAGTTAATTATGAAAGCTTTTCATTGATGCAAGATGCTTGTTCTTTTCAAGATACCAACAATACAGGCTTAATTTCATCATTTGACCTTCACAATATATGCAAATCATTCAAACTTCCACTAAAAGATGATTTGTTGCAGTGTTTATTACAGAAAGTTGTTTCTCCTGATGGAAAAACTGATTATTGCAAGTTTATTGAACTCTTGAATTGGAAAAACTTACCTGGTATATAATTGTTATTTTATTTTTTCAATTTTTTTTTTGTTTTACACCAACTATAGCTTGTCATGCTACTCACAAAGAACAGGTTTTCATGGTTTTCATTAATAGCTTAAGTAATAAAAAAATACAATTAATTAATAAAAAAACTACAAAATATAAGAAATTTTTTACATATCTGGTATCTCCCAGATATCGTTTTTATTTCATGAATTTTCTGTTTGTGCCCATTTTATTTAACGATCTTTTTTTATCCTAAATAAACTGTAATAAATTTATCCAAAATCATCAACTGACAGTGGAAGGTAAAATTAAATATATCTGATATACTATTATATTATGCAGAAATAATTATAATTTTAAAATGAATAATTTTAAATTGAATCATGTCTTTGGGTTTAAATTAAAGTTTGAACTATTGTATTAATGGAAAAATTCGAGAGTGCAGTTAAGGCTATGAGACGTCTGAAGCAGAAAATGCTGAAATATCATATCCAAGGACAATAACTACAATGTTTAACCGTTTTCTTGAGAATAAATCAGTTAAAAACTGAGATCAAAGTGGGCAACCACAAAAAAGCGATGAAGATATTCAAAACCAGATATAAGCGATTTTTTAGTCGACTAGCCAAAGGCAACAGTAACTGAGTTTTCTGCTAAATTTAATTTATCCAGAGGGACCATTTGTAATATTTTTCATTCACATATACTTTTTAAGTCATGTAAAATCCAAGTACGCCAGAAATTGTATGAGGAAGACTTTGGTTCTAGAGCCCAAACTGCCAAAAACCTGATTGGAGGGAAAATACTTTGGAAAACTTAAACTTTTTTTCTCACGAAAACCATGAAAAACTAAATACTGTAGAAGAATACGATCAACACAGCCCAAAAGTTAACATTTGGTGCGCTATGTTTTTTTAAATGTGTCATAGGACCATACTTTTTTGATGAACCATCAACTGCCAAAACTACCTCGAAATACTTAAAGAATTTTTTTCATCCAGTATTGGTTCAAAAGCGCATTATCTGACGAATCTATTTCCAATTAAAGGGAGCTCCTGCATGTTACACTACTGACGATAGAGCTTAGTTAATTGAGAAGTTTCTTGAAAGATGGATTGTCTGACGAGGTCGAATCGAATGGCCTGATCAATCCCCAGTTATGAAGCCAGATTATTACTTTTTTTCAAAATATTTTAAATTGATGAAAGTTAATTTTGAATTAAAGTTCAGTCTTAAACAAAAATGCTAGAAAAGTTATTAAAACTTTTTATTTGAAAATTTATTTGATCACTTATTTGCTTGAATCAATATAATAATTTAAAAAAAAAATTATAATGTTGCTTTGATTAAATTAAAATCGTGCTTAAAAAGATTTTCTGAGCATTTTTTAACCCAATCAACACAACACGTCTAGCAAATGTTGCAGCTGTGTTGGTTTGACGAGTGTGCTGCTCGGGTAGATTCAATTATTTTTTAATATTTAATTTTTTTTTTTTTTTTTTTTTTCAGCTCATATGCAAAATAGCCCTGCCAGTCTCGGATACAGTTTTCCAGCAAAAAATCGACGACGTCAGCTTGAAACATTGATTAATGTTCCTTATAATCTTATTATGAAAACTATGAATTCTTAAAAACTATTAAGTATTGATGGTGTTTTAAATTTATAAATTCTTATCTTTTATATTTTTATAATTTATTTTTTAAATAATTTTTAGTATTAAATATTTTACAAATTTAAAATGTATAAATCATGAACGAAATTATGAGTATTAGTAATTCAACGTTTTTATGTTAGAAAAGCCTGATCTGTATAAAAACTCATGAAACTTACAGCTTATGGCTATATATGTGAATTATTACAGCTTTGGCTATATATGTGAATTATTACAGCGTATGGCTATATATGTGAATTATTACAGCTTATGGCTATATATGTGAATTATTACAGCTTATGGCTATATATGTGAATTATTAAAAAGATATTAAATTAAATGAAAGAGGTGTCTGTTGTTTCATTTTAGATTTATATTAGTCTGCATACTTAAAAAGCTCAAGTCTTTACCAGTAACATGTTAATTTAACCTTTTGATTTTGGCTAACCAACATGTGCTTTGGTTTTATATTTTTTTCAATAAAACTATTTTTAAAATAAAGTTTGGTTTAAATTTCAACCGAAGCCTCGAGCAGAGGGTCCCCACTGGTCTCATGGTCTAATAAAACCAATATTTACAGGATTATAATCTTAAGCAAAGAAGACTTTTGACTTATAGTTTAAGAAAGTTATTTATAAAGTTTTATTATAAATAACTTTAGTTTAATATTGAGTTATCAATATTATTAGCTCTTATATTTTTTCTTAAAAATAATAGGCATATCAATTTAAATCTCTAAATGAAGCGACGTTTTAAAAATAGTAGTCTTTAAAAACATTTTAAAATATATAAATAATAAAGTCTTTTATTATCTGTTTAAAAGAAAAAAGTACTTTTCCTATAATAAAATCTAAACTATTATAACAATGATTTTTTTCAAACTTAAAACAAAAGTTAATCGACTTGTGATAAAGAACGCAGCGTTAAAAATAGTTTTTTTTTTATCTTTTTTACGTATTTATGTGTAATGCATAAAGTTGAAGAACCCTTGACTAATAAATCTAATTAATCTAGAAAAGCAAAGTATTTTTAATTGAAATATATATTGTATTTTATTTCTTCCACTAAAGATAAAGCACCAGCCGTCATCAGCTAAGAAAAAGTTCTATAGATATTGAGATATTCGGTCAGATAATCATCTGACCGAATATCTCAAAACTTAAAAAAATAGGAAAATTTATAGCTTAACACAAAATGTGATATTGGTACAAACAGCATGCATACAAAACTTCAGATTCCCCATGCGGTTGTCCAGGTTTTTTCCAAAGGAAAACGCTACAAAAATTTTAATTAATTTTAAAATTTTTATGAAGGTACTAGGAGAAAAATCCTACTCTGATTAGAATTTGCAATACAATTGTATTACTATATTCACGTGGCTGGATATTATTATTACGTGGCTGGATAGCTCAGCGTCAAACGAATTGTCAAAACCCAGAAAGTTGTGCGAGTTTAAATCCGTTACCACCAACTCAGTGCTTGAGTAGTACTTACGCAAAAATGTTGGTCAGAAAGAGGTTGTTTGTATGCTAAGCCAATAATATCTTCGTATATAAGAGCATCGTATAGCAAAACATAGCATGATATTAAAATAAATTGGAAAAATTATAGTTGTAACGGTAAAGTATTTGACCACTCGTATACCAAGACAGAACCTTGAAGAACACCACTAAGAACATAACTTAAATGTTGTTAAATGTAACACTTTGTTCTCTGTCAACCAAAAAGGACTTAAACCGTTGTAGTAGTTTTCCAAATTTTATTTCTGAATGATGTTAATTTTTGAAAAAGTTTTCAAAATAATTTTGTTTCAGAGATTTTTGAAAAATATTTAAAAAAAATTTTTTTAATGTTTTGCAACAAGTTTAAAAATATACTAAAAAAATGATTCGCAACGAATATTGGCTACGGCATTAGTGTAAGAACAGATTTTTATAGCAAAATATTAAGCCGATACTACATTGGCCAAATGTCAGCTCAACATAGTGCGATATTTGCAAAAAACAGATTTGTATTTTATTGAAATTGAAATATTACGCCGAAAAAAAAACTTGGCTAAATGTTGACCCAACGGAATAAATTTGCCAATGTTAAAACTTAGGTTGAGCCAATGTAAGCTTGCTGTCTGGGAATAAATATTCTTAATGTCATTAATATGGCAAAAAGTTCAAATTGAGGGGGTCTTAGTCATTTAAACTTTTTTGGTGCATGTACTAAAAAAAGTTATTTAAGAGTATTTGTTTTATAAAAAAAGAAAAGAGCGTTTACATAATCGGGAAAAAATGTTAAGGGTCACAAATGGGGAATGGGTTAAACTGAAGGGGCTAAACCGATTTAACTACTTTATATTAAAGAGGTTAAAATCACCAACAATCACACAGCCTTAATGAAACTCATTAACTAATCTATGAACTAATTTGAAGGTCTCGGCAACATGGTTTATTAAATCAACATCATTTAGGCTATATTTACCTAATGAGCATACGTCTATTATCAATTTTTACAAATATCCAAACTTGTTCAATAGGGTTTGTATAAAATTGATTATTTTCATGAGACTTAATACGTCAGCAACATAGGTAGCTACACCGCCACCTCGTTGTTTGTCTCCGTAATTTTTACGATATAGTTGTACCCATCGTAATTTGAGACTAAGTCGTTTTGAAGCTAAATTTCCAAAATAACGTAATATGATAATTAAATATTCTGGCTGTTGTAATTAAGTCGATCATTTTATTATCAAAGAACGTTGCGCAAATGACAATTAGTGCTGTAGTTTGTTTCTTGATTATGTAAACTTTTACAAGGGATACCACGAATATTCGGTACCTATTAGGTATTTGGTATCTTCAGCACCAAATTTTACTATTCGATATTAGACCGAATAGTTCTTAATACTCGGCCGAATACCGAATACTAATCATGATTAAAGTATTGCATAATAAATAGAACGAATCACTAAATATAATATGATATGTATACTAATACAATCTGTTATCATATAAATAAGATAAACTATGATGAAAAAAGATAAATTGTGATGAAAGAAAACTTGTTCAGCATTTATTATTAGCAAACGGTTGCGCTTTTTCTTGTAAAGCTTGTAATTATGCTTGGAACCGAAAATAGCCTCTCATCACAGACACTTCTACTGGAAGATGATAAATAAATCTCAGCAAGCTCTGCTAGGTTCTTATACTGTTTGAACTTGCTGACCACCACTCGTAAGGGTGGTTAGCAAATACAAAACAGTATCGATTTTAATTTGCTGTTGAAATTTTCTGTTTGACATCTTCATCTGTGTATATATTTTCTGTTGCGACTTTTATAGAATATTTCAAAAAACTAGTATGTATATCAATATTTTTATCATTTTCATTGTCACTTCTTTTCTTCCAAAGTTGAGATGATTCATCGCTGGTATCTATGTATGTTAATAATCATCTACATAAAACGTATTACAACTCTTTCTCAGAACTTCTAAAAAAAAGTTTTGTTTTTCTCTGTGTGTTTTACCTATTTTCAAGAAACTAGTTTTGAAATGTTAAAAAAAGTGACAACTAGATATTTGTTGTTTTAATTAAAATTGAATGGCGCTTCAAATTCAGTTTGAAGAGAAATTCTCGTTTTCAATAAATTAGTTGTCTCTATTCCTTTCCCAGAGAGTTTAACAACATGAAAACTTGTGAAATTATCTTAGAAATGAAGAAAATATCCACGCTGGTTAATTTTGTAATCTCCCCAAACGGTTTATGGAGTTTGATACACTGTTCCATAACTCCAATTGAGCAAATATTAAATTTTTAAAATAATTATGATCAGTTATGTAGGAAAGGCTTTTATTTTAGTAATCTATGAAATAGTATGTTAAATTCTAGAGTGTGTTAACGTCAAGTATTGCTTGATAATCTGAAAATTTATGCTCTTTGCGAATGCTTTTCAGCTTTTCTTGTGCCAATGAGGTTAAATACCATTAAGGGTAACGGTTTGTCTTGCAATAGGAATAATGTTTGTTATTTCTAATTGCAACTTTAACAATTCTTTGATAGCTTGTTGTAAATAAAACACTTGACAGAATCACCTTCTGTATCTAACACTCCTTTCATCATATTACTCTAGAAAAGACACACTATAAGTAAATCAATTTGTTGATGTAACAAAGTGTGAAAATGTAAAACCAGCAAATAAAGTGTTCAAGATTTACTCGCTAAAGCAACAAAGTTTAATGCAATTACCAATAAATTACACGACAGAAACGCAAATGAAACAGGTATGTCTGCGGCGTAGTTACGGTACGCACTTATTGGTACAGACGGAACCTGTTTACTACAAAATGTATTTAGTGTCACTGAATGTTCTGTATTTAGCAAAATCACTGTTCGTGACATCTCCAATTTTTACTCTTGTAATTTGATTTCGGTGGTAAAGGAGTAAGAAGGCATGCTTTTGTGGTAGCTTACTAAATATAGAGTTTGACAACTCCACTGCTTTATATACCATATTTGAAGGGCGAAATTTTTAAATCGTTATCACACTTAAATTCATTACGCTTCATCTTTAATTGATAGTTTAAATCTCTTTCAGCTTCAGTCAGAAGCGGGTTTATAAAAACATTCTAGTAATTATCTATTCTAGTTAGTTGGTTTTGTTTCAAATTTGATAGTAGTTAAAATGTTCTCAACTGTTTTGTCGACTTTTTGGCAGATTCTTTAATGCTAAAAAAAATTCGTTTCTTTCTCTTGATTATTTTTATGTTGTTGCTAAAGGGCTAATGCGTTGATAAATGTTAGTATAGTGTAATATAGTATGCAATAGTTATATAATGTATTATGAATAGAATAAGTCCGCATATATAAATCTAAACGTTACTGATCTATAAATGATTAATACAGACCAATAAGTGACTGGTTGTTCAGAAAATGATTTCTTCAACTAAATAAAAAGTAAAAATAATCTTTATTTTCGTTAAATCTTGCATTAATTTATTATTTTAAAATGAAATATTAAAAATTAAGTCTGTTTGTTGCCAAGAATGTTAATCCACTGTCTCATTAAATCTCCTCGAAGCAATACTACGGAAAAATTACAAACAGATTTAAATTCACCTTTCACAATTGCCTGTGATATGATTATACTATACATACAAGACAGACTTACACATACTAATTTATCAGTTTACAAAGTTTTACACTACTTGGCATGCTTATTATTTTTTGCTCCTATTAGCAGCTGGATTTGTTTCGGCCATTCAATTATTTTATATTATTATAGCCCCATTACTCATTATTATCCAATTAACTTTAACCTTTAACTTTTACTCGTGTTTAATCTATTTAGTAAACCAGTGGAGATATAAACAATCT